GCAGCCATGACAGATTGAAGGAATTTTCTCAAGTTGATTTTAAAGAACCCCACACGAGGCACGCCAAAAGCCCAGTAATTCATCATGCCGGCGCATACTCCATAATTGATTATTCTCTAATTAAGCAATCAATGCACAGTGATTTATTGCTTTTGGCTTAACCTTGTACGCATTAAAGTGTAAGCAAGCATGACTGATGACACCCTTTTCATTTTATGCCTTTCATCAACTTACAAGCTACGCATCCTTTCACTGTCGCGCTTTGGTTACTCTTTGACTCGTGACCCCACCACCCCACGCCCACCCCACTCAACTTCCTCTCTTTTTTTTATTTCTTTTTAAATCACGAGATTGTTAGAAATAAGAATAAGGTTCTGCTAAGTAGTGATTATGAGAATTGATTTTTTGATCGTTAGAGAGAAAAAGTAGATCCCACTTATGAGTGATGAAGTAAAAAATGACGATTTAAATAATAAAATAATGGTCAAAAAATCAAATTTTTGGAGTGAAAAATTATTATCAAACGGGGGCTAAATAGATAAGAGTATCTGAACGACCCAATTAATTATGATACTTCTGTATCACCTGCATGGGTCTCATCATCACCCTTCCAAAGATGTTTGTATATGAAATTTGACCCATCTGAAGATATATTGCCCCTCTTTGGCCCCCATTAAATTTTATTCCATTATGTTTCAATTTTTTTTCTTTTATTTTTAATCACACAATTTTTCATGAAATGATATTACACGTAAATAAAAAAAAATTCATTTATTCTCAACCATTTATTTTTCAAAGAAATACTATTCTATCCATTTTCATTTTCAAATAATGAAGGCTGTTATCACTTGTACCTCGTCATACTTCGTGTTACTGTATGTCACGTTAGATACCTCATAATGGTCGTTTTCGTCTTTCTTAGAGTATTAGGTTAACTAGGTCGATCGTATATCCTTTAATATTCTGTTTGAGCCCATTTTTTTTGATGAAAATGTATTTTAGAATAGTATTTTGATGAAAAATATGTGGATAAAAAATAAGGAGAAATTTTTGATTTCCGTGTAATATTATTTTATTAAAGAATATATGGTTTAAAAAAAGAGAATGAAAACCGTATTTTGCGAATAATGTGACGAAACAAATGCTTAAGTATCTTTTTATCTATTTCCTGTTAAGCAAGGCACAAGTATACATTTTTTTATATTTTTTATTTACTTTACAGTTAATGCAATTGGTTCTTTTTTTTTTTTTTTTTTTTTTTTTTTAAAAAAAAAAAAAAAAAAAAAAAAAAAAAAAAAAAAAAAAAAAAAAAAAAAAAAAAAAAAAAAAAATTTTTTTTTTTTTTTTTTTTCAACAAGCGGTAATTATTTCTTTCTGCATTTCTTTTGCTTTAGTTACATGTAAATTGTTTGACAATGAAAAGGAAAATCTTAGTCTCTTCATCCTTAGTAATGTTGAATGCATCGAGCCAGCTATGTCATCTTTTCAAAGTCGTTAGACTATTGACATGTTTGATACGTTGTATTAGTTACTAGTCGATAGTCGAATTGCGGGAAAAAAAATTGAAATTTCAGTAGTATTTTCCATACCAAATATTATCCTTACAGCGGTTAAAATATTTGTCTTGAAATTTTTTCTATTTTTCAATTTTTTCTTCCCTATTTTATCCACATTATTTCATTTGTGCAGTTGATGACTTTTTCTTCTTTTAAAGAAGCTGACATACAGAAATTGTTCATGTGACTGGCACAGTTTTTAATATGCTTTGATCATAATTTACCAACGAATTTACTAAGATATTTCATATTTGGTGATCATGCAACTATCAGTGTAATTTTGGTATATAAAATTTGTACTTTTTTGTTGCATGAAATATGGTGGGACCACAAAATGTACCAATGATAAATAGTAAAAATAAATAAATAAATAAATAAATAAATTGTGATTGAAATTAAATTTTGATTTTTATTGGATATTAGAAACAACTTTTAAAGTTTCTAAAAAAATATTTCCCGAAAAGGCCCCGGTTTGGTTTTGATTATTCAAGCCAAAAAATCAATTTTTTGATTGTTACTTAACATGGTTAGCCGTCATTTTTTACTTCTTCACTCATAAGTTAGACTCATTAGCTGTCATTTTTTACTTCTTTACTCATAAGTTAAACCCATTTTTCTCTATAACGATCAAAAAATTGATTTTAAGAATCGGTACCAAACAAACTCAAGGTTTAAATTTTTGTTGAGTCAATTTCTTTCAATGCCTTTTCAACAGGTGAGTAAAAATAAAGCAAAACCTTCCTGTGTAAGCAAGATTTACAATTTTATAAGTGAATCCATATATATAGTTGCTTTCCATGCAATCTTTCCTTCTCTGTCTTCCAAACCCACCCTCGACCCCACCCACACCAAAAAGTAAAAAATAAAATAAAATAAAAATCTTCAAACACAACCACCCCCCGCCCCCAACCGCCCCATCTCTCTTTCTTCAATTCCATTCGTCTCTCGACCAATCTCTGTTAAGGGTCCTCGTTGGTTAAAAATGAACATAATACTTCATTGAGTTACTTGTCCAAACAAGTCGACATTTTTTAAGATGAAAATCAAAACTCCTCTAGTCTTTTCCGTCTTCAACTAAATCAACCTCCCATCCCTCCCGAATATTTGTTGTGCCTATTTGAGGTCCATGTAGACTTTTATTTAAGAGTTAAGCCACTCGATCTGCATCGATGACCATGAGGATGATTGTATCCTCACATGGGATGAGTGGGTCCCGCATAAATTAAAGAATCCCCACTCCCATGTGTGTGTACACAATCATACCCGCGGTCACTCCCACGATTCGTGTGGCATAACTCTTTATTTAAAACTAAACTTAGAATGCATCACCCTGGGACAGACCCAGGTCCAAACTTAGTTCTTTGTAAGTCGAATTAATATGCTAAAAAATAAAATTACACATAAAAAATGTACTAATTAAAAAAAAATCCTTTTTACACATAAAATATTGAATTGGACTAGGCCCAGCTCCCACTAAATCAGCCAGTGATTACCCTTAACTTCTTCAAAATAAAATATAATTAAATTTCAATAAGGTCACTTGAATCTACCTGACCCAAAACCGAATACTTAAAATATTGAATTGGACTAGGCCCAGCTCCCACTAAATCAGCCAGTGATTACCTTTAATTTCTTCAAAATAAAATATAATTAAATTTCAATAAGGTCACTTGAATCGACCTAACCCAAAACCGAATACTTAGCCTATGTTTCGTTCATGTTTGTAAATTATTTATAAGCACTTAAATCACTTTTTAGTCACATATTTTGAGAATTCATAAGTACTACTTATTTATTCACAACTCATTTTTATTTAGCCTCTAATTGATAGTCATTAAAAAAGAGTTTTTAAAAAAATTAAGTTTACATGCAAAATATATATAAAAAAATGAATGACAAACATGAGCTTACTTATAATCTCAATAATTTATAAAAATTTCACAAAGAATTAAGGCCCCGTTAGGTAAACATTAATGTAAAAATGAGAATGAAAAATATAGTCATTATGAGCCCCACACAAGAAATAGAAAGTCAAATGTGGTGACTTGATGTGATGAATAAGGGGTCATATTTTTCATTTTAATGAACAAATAATGAGAAACAAACGGGGTCTAAGCTAATTTAAGTGAAAATTGTTGACAGAAGTCTTTACATTCTCTCACATGCGTGTGAGACCCGCATGAATAAAAAATTTCAGAAAAAGTGACCCCATCCTTTATTGTGAGTGTTCAATCGGGAAGACTGTCAACGCCTCCCAGTCAGTACCCTACCTTTGGGCTAGTTGATTACGAGCACTACTCATAGTGATGCCCATAACTTTTTACTTATTGTGTATTCATTCCTTGAATACTGTCCGATGGTCGGTCCACAGCCTTGTGCTAGTCTTGTAATGCTTTAGTTTTTATTCATCGACAGGATGGTCAATCTCTTTGAATAGAGTTTTGATACGACTTATAATTTCGACTTGAAAATAATAGTCAACTTACTTACCTTTTAACGAAAATTAGTTCGGTTCAATAGACCTTAGAGCCTAAATATTGTGATTATTTTTTTAATCATTAAATTTTAAATTGTTTCATTATTAGCACTCAACTTTGAAAAGTGTTTTAAATTAATTTCATTTTTCTCTCATATTTTTAATCAAAAAATATTTCATAAAATAATATTACACGTAAATCGAAAATTATTCCTCCATTTTAATTTGAGAAAATGGGAGCCAAACGGGGGCTAAGTAACACTATAATGCGTTCAAAAAATAATGCTGATGATTTTCTCAAATTTTAAACACATTTTCAAAGTGAGCCCTGTTTGGTCCCCATTAATTTTCATTCCATTATATTTCATTTTTCCCTCTCATATTTTCAATCACACAATCTTTCATAAAATAATATTACACGTAAATCGAAAACTTTTCCTTCCTTTTTAATAACTCATTTAAAAAAAAATACTATTTCACCAATTTTTATTTCCACAAAATGGGCGAAACGGGGCTAACTTGCTTAGAAAGTCATGACTCACTAGCTGTCAGAAAGTGACACGAGATTGATGTTGGCATCCTTTTTTATATATATGGATAGATACTTCCCCAAAGGACCACAATAATATTGCTTGGAATCTAAGTTTGCCCATTTAATTTAAGTAATTCTATAATTTATTTCAATGAAAACTTTGTGTATCTTAAGTCCTTCTTTGGCAACCACTAAATCAAAATTTCTTTTTCTTAAATTAATTTTCAACCATACATTTACATAGTAAAATATTTTACATGCAAACGCAAAATCAACATTTATATATATATATCTCATTTTCAAAATCAACAATTATTTAGTACTGAATACTTCACGTGCACTTGTTGAAATTCAATTGAATTCTAATTTCTTATTAATATTTTAAGATATACTTTTGTTTCAATATATTAATGAATTAATTATATTTGCATGAACTGTACGGTAGATAATTGGACTGGGGTCGCTGGTGGTGATGCCATTGATCGGAAATCTCTCCGACATATATGGGAGAAAAGTGATGCTCACCTTCCCTATGACTTTTGGGATTCTCCCTTTAGGTATTACTTCTTCTTTACTTCTCACTTATAATGTTGGCAAAAGATGTTTATCGAATAAGTTTTATCATAAATAAGTTATTTAGCTAAAATAAGCTATTATGAATACTTTTTGTGTAAAAATAATTTGTGAAATGGATCTGTCGTGATAGTGTAACAGAGGAGTAACTTCAATCTTTATATGAAGCGATTAAAGAACGTAGTACAAGAATAGAACGAAATATGAGTTCTTTATATTTAAATTTTGCTCTACACCAATTTACAAATGTTTTTCAAAGGATGTATAAATTCTACTTGCGTGTGAGAAGACATAAATATATAAATTTTTTATATGTTCGACTTCTATACAAATAACTCAATATATCGTCTTTGTAGTAATTTGGTTTTCAATCTTTAAAAAAGAAGTTATTTCACTAATTCTATTAGAAGTATACAACAAGTCCTTATTGATTAAAACTGTTCAAATCTCTACTAAATTCTTTCGTGCCATTGCACGAAATTATGTTATGTTTCTCAACTTGAGTTTGTTACCCAATACTTTAAACTAAGCCATATTTTCAAAAGGGTTTTCATATAATTTGACAAAAATTAAGATAGTTTCTGCTTGTAATCGATTGTGGTATTGTAATTAAAGGTTGGGAAGCCAAAATAATCTCTTTTAAAATATAATTACTAACTAGAGATAAAATATATTGGGGACCAATGGTGCATTTATTCAAAAAGTAATAAAAAACTACAAAATGAAAATACTAGAAGAGAAACTCAGCACCGTTTGGTAGCAATTTTTTACCCAAAAAATCAATTTTTTTATCGTTATTTCACTATTTCAGTCGTCATTTTTAAATTCTTCACTCACAAATGAGATTCACTTTTCTCTTTAACGATCAAAAAATAAATTCTCAAAATCAATATCGAACATGCCTTTTTTGACCAGCACTTCTCTCTCTCTCTCTCTCTCTCTCTCTCTCTCTCTCAAGGAATCTTTCACATGGGTAAAAGGAAAAAGAAAAAAGAATAATAGCTCCAAGGAAAGGAAAAGTATAAAAACAGAAACAAAATAAAGCAAAAAGAAAAAGGAAAAAGAAAAAGAAAAATATAATTTCAGGTCATCCATGGATCGTGTTTCATCTGGTAGCCCGGACTAATCTTGGATCTTTAGACACCTTTAGTGGGATGGCTTGGCTCGGCCATGGACCTTAATCCTGTAGAGCCGAGCCCGCCAATGAGCCATAGTAGTTTTTTCATTAAAAATTAGAATTATCTAAATTTATTTTAAAAAGATATACAACATAAAGTAACATTCACTATGGCATAAAATAGAATTTACATAAATTCGATATAAGAAGTTTATGGGCATGCCCGTGAAGAGCGTGCATGTATGAGCCCAAGCACGGTTCGGCTAAGCAAGCTGAAAATCGAGCTCAACTTGATTCGACGCTCATTTTAATGTATGGTCAAATTGTCTATGAGTTGAGCTCAAGCGCAATATTGAGTAGCCTGAATCGTCATATCATTTTCATCAAGAGCCTAAAATTAAATGATTAATAAAAAAATTGGAGATAAGATTTTTTGTTCACTTTGCATATTAAGTCCCTGTTTGGTAATATTTTTTCAAAACCTTTTTTTTCTCATACTTATTTTCAATCATATATTCTCATAAAAAAATATTCTTCAAGTAAATCTTTTTCTTTTTTAACTACATATTTTTCCCAAAAAAAAAAAAAATACTATTCAAAAACCCATTCTTCCCTCACACACACAAAAAATAAATAAAAAATAATAAGAAAAAAACTCGAGCTTGTGGTCTTGGGTCATTGAGCACGAGCCAAGCTCGAGAGTAAAGCTCGTGCATGAACGAGCTCGAGCTTGGCTCGTCAAAGAGCTTGTGACTTTGACTAGTTGGGCTCGTGGGTACATGGGCCGAACCAAGTCTAACTCAACTCATTGCCACCTCTATTCATACATCCTGACTTATAATCACAAAAGCTTTATCAAACAGGCATGGTCGGAATATATTTTATTTACCAATAATGAAATAATTTCCTTGGAAAAATGATCATTTTGCTCTACCTGTTTGACTAATATTTTTGCCATTACAGTGATATTGGCCTGCAGCAGGACAAAGTATTTTTTCTACACTTATTATGTGCTCAAAACTGTCATTGCCATGTTTACTGAAGGAAGTGTTCAGTTTCTTGCTCTTGCATACGTGGTATGTTCTTCTTTTCACTCGTTCAAATAAATTCTATGAAGGATTTTTACCTAAGAAAAACCAATTAATGTAACAATATTTTCTGTTTGATTACAGGCTGATAATGTTCCTGAAAGCAGAAGGGTTTCAGTATTTGGAATAATGTCTGGCATTGCATCTGCTTCTTTCGTGTTTGGGAATTTCTCTACTCGTTTCCTCTCCACTTCTGCTGCTTTTCAAGTAAGTATATACTCTTCTGACTTGGGATTCCATTTTAAAGGACTAGTCCTATTTAATGGACTGGATTTATACCTTAGCATCAGACACCTAAAAGATGGTTTCTCGTTTAAGAACACTGTTGACCTCAATATTTGCACCAATAAAATTCCGACCACCTCCCCTTCACGTCGACATTTCCTGCACCCCAGAGCACAACATAAGGAGGCAAAGGCCTCGGGTCGAGAATAAGGCTTGTGACTGTTTGCACTCTGATGATCAAGTCAACTATCGGACAAGAGATTATGAGAGCTAGAGACGGGAGAGAGAATTTGGCTAGAGTTAGAATCATTCATATCTTGATTGCAAATGAACTCTCTCTCTCATACACCGACACACATATAGAAAAGGGCCAAGTGGGCTAATGGACCTAGCCCAAGCCCAATTTGAGGTTGTTTGATTAAATAGACCCAATTCAATTGAAAAATTGATGCCTATTCATCAATGTGGGGACCTTCCGTCACGTGCATGTCACGTAATTTATATATTTAACAATCTTGAAAATGGTTCCTTTGAGCTTCTAGACCATTGAATGGCTTGTTTGAGCATTATGGTTTGATAGGGATCCATATTAAGAGGTCCTATCAGTAACACAAATTCTTATATATCGGATATAACTTTCATATTCAAGTATTCAGACCGAAATTGGATTTATCCTGTAACATATGACTATATAGGTACATGCCCACTGTATCTTATTGTATTGATCATTTAATATTGATATCATGTTTTCCAATAAGGGTGTTCTAGATATTTTGCCTTATTAGTTAACAATTATGACAAATTTCAGTGATGTTTTATAAATATTGCTGTTAAAGTCTGTTAACTGCCAGTGATCTTTAAAAGCAACTTTGGAGATGTCGGAGTGCGCTCATAAAAATATAACTGGGTATTTCCGGGGATGCTCCAATGCCTATGTTGGTGAAATGACTATAAAGAGAGATAATTGACAGGATAAGTTAGGAATGTGTATTTTGTATTAACTAGATGTAGCTGACAAGTTGGTAGGAAGTCATTTATAGTCACTTGAGGTCCGTGTGATAGAGTCGTGTTTGGACTGAACAGGAGAAGTTCTATCAGAACTTGGCTGAATTTTGCTCCTTATATGGGCAGGGATGGAGTTTTATTCCCTCATCTCTTAATTTGGCAGTCTATTTTCTTATTTGAAGAGGATGCTAAGAGGGTTAATCTGCATTCATAGAAATAAATAAAATCAAGTAACGATTCCTTTTTTAATGTAATTCTTTATATGATGTCTGTGTATAGGTTGCTGCATCAATGGCAGTGATATCACTGGTGTACATGAGAGTGTTCCTTCCTGAGTCAATGATGAACAACAGCATTTGTGCAAAGAACACAGAGACTACTTGTCTTTTGGAGAAAGCACCCACAAAAAAGTGGCAGCTATTCAAGAATCTGCCTTCAGTGGATGATACCATTTGCTTGTTAAGGACTAGGTTAGCCACATTTACTCATGCTAGAGATTGATTCTGTTTTATAAATAGCAAATTAAACTTACTTTGAGGTAATTAACTATTATCCGTTCCTTTTGACGGATCATAAGGCTTGTCCATGGCCTTTGTCCAAAAATTTGTCCAATACTTAAAATACCCTTATGGACTAGCACAAGGGCATTGAGAGTGATGGTTTATACCTAAAATCCTTGATGGGTTGGTGGCGTTGTTGACAGGAGGTGGAGGGTGGTGCATTTTCCTAATTGAAGAAATAATTTAAAATCGAAACAACAAATACGAAAACGAGTAATACCCTCATTGAAGTCAGGTGACATTCAATTTGAAATTTTGTTCATTCAGTTTGGATTGCATCATTACTCTATAATTACGTGGGAAATATTGGTGGAAGACAATTTGTTAAATGTAAAAAATTGGGAAAAAGTTGTGAACTTGAACAAGAGAGGAAGAATATTGATTGTCTTTGGGAGAAGATTCCTTATATTTATTTTGCCGTTTCTAACTGTACATTGATATTTGCTATCTTGCAGCTCCACATTTTCAAAAGCAGCTTCCGTTGCATTTTTCGTCACTGTTGCAGATGTTGGCGCTGGCGCTTCTTTAAATGTATGTTTCTTTCATTGTTTTCCATGAAAGATGTCATATGTCTCCACTCTGAGCAGTTACAGATAACTTGTAAATGGATATCTTAGTTTGAAGTCTGAATTGCCCGATTTTTAAGTGATGCACTTACAGAAAGTTTTACAAATTCTGGTTTCAGTTGTCTAGGTCCTTCATGATAGTGCTCTTTTATAGGAAAATCAGAAATGGATTTATAATGGCCTGTTTTTCATTTAACCATGATGCAGTACTACTTGAAGGCTCAATTTCACTTCAACAAAGATGAATTCGCTGATCTGATGATAATTGCTGGGATAGCAGGGTCAATATCGCTGGTAATTAGCCTTCATGAGCTAATATGTGCATATATTCAAGTTCTTATACTTATTCATGTTCGGTTTTGAACTCTTGCAGCTGATTCTCATGCCCGTATTAACTCCTTTATTGGGAGAAGAGAAGATGCTTTCAATAGGGCTCTTTTTCGGCTGTGCTAATGTAAGGACATTGCCATTTCCTATCGGAATTAGCTTAAATAATCTGAAAGTCTCAGTGCTTGATGCTCTTTCATACAAAGTTTAAATATAAATTACTTCATTTAAAGGTTACGCCTTGTATGTTGAACTCTGTGGAACCCAATTTTACTATTTTCTCCTTGAACATGGATCGGCCTTATCGGGAAAATTCCTATTATATATAAAAGGGGTTTGAGGGGCCTTTTCTCTTAGAGAAGACAGAGAGGTGTGTTAAAACCCTTGTAATCTCCTTCATTATAGTGAAATATATCCAGCAGCAAGTGAACGCAACTATCACATTAAGGGTAAACTACTATAAATCTATGTGTTTATGTGTTATGTTTCTGATTTTGTTTTGTTCATTATTTCTCTAGGAGTTGGGGAGGATGAATTCCGTAACTTTTGATTAAACTGTTCTATTACTTTCAATGCAGATGGTTCTTTATGGCATTGCATGGGCCCCCTGGGTATGTTCTTACTGGATTACTCCTTCGAATTTCAATAAATTTGTTTTTCACATTATGCTATCTCATCTACACAAATCACGTAAATGTCAAGAGTCAAGACCATCGCTGGCCACCCCATTTTGAAATTTCATATTCCTAGCCTCTCTTCTTCTCTAGAGAAGCAAAACTCAAATGTAACATTCAGTAACGCTGATAATTCTAAATTTGTAGGTTCCTTATGCTGCTGCCATGATCTCTGTTGTGGCTACTTTTGCAATGCCATGTGTAAGTTCTTTGTTTCTTGTAGCACAGGTCTTAAACATGGATTTAAGCGTTAATTTTAACCGTGCATTGCACTTTGCAGTTAAGGAGCATTGCTTCCAAACAAATTGGTCCCAATGAACAGGTGAATTTTGAAATATCGATATCACGTTAATCTTGATGAGCTATGCTTTATTGTTCTGATTGTTGCCCTGGTAGATGACAAAATTGTCCATAAAATGATCAACGTAGCAGAAATGAGGTTGCTAAGATGTTTGTGCGGTCATATTAAAATAGATTAGATAATAATCGAAAAATATATGCCAATAAATAAAGGTAGTGCAGAGATTGACTAAGTAGCTGGACCTAAAGAGACACCGCAAGAAGTCAGAAGAGGGAAGAGTGTATAAAAACAAACATGGCTTGTTACAGTTGTTGTGGAGCTTGTTGCTTTAGATTTTCTAGTGGATCTAGCAATGAATAATTTGAAGTGCCGACACATTGGAAACCCAAATTTTATTGAGAATGAGGCTTAGTTTGTCATTGTATTATTGAATACACAGTAACTAATACTTCCGAATTGTGTTGTAAACTTTTTCTCTGGACCCTTCAGAGGGTGCTGATTTTGACATTGTTTTTCCTTTCAGGGAAAGGCTCAAGGATGCATTACAGGCATCTGTTCCTTTGCTAACATTGTGTCTCCACTTGCTTTCAGCCCTTTAACAGGTAAGTAGAACCATTGTTTTCCGAAATTCAATAAAAGCCTCGAACTCATTGTAATCTGATAATCTGCTTTTTTACAATTTTTTTTTTCAGCTTTGTTTCTGTCAGATAGTGCACCATTTCATTTTCCAGGATTCAGTATTATGTGCTCTGGCTTTGCTGCGGTAGGTGCTTCTTCCTGCAGATACTCAGCTCTGTATTATTTCTGTTACTTAATTTATTACATAAATGGCATGTTTAATACCCCCAATAGTGGACGGTAGTTCACAAGATAAGAGAAGATTTTAATTTGGTATTCTTCACTAATATATCCGTTAGTTCGAATCCTGCGTAACAAACATAAAGGAAGTGCATGTCTGATACATATTGTTAGATGGTATTGGACAATGGAATAGATCAGTTGTCATTTTCTGGTTCTAGTGGTGAAACTGTTTACTTGTTAGTTGATACATCTCTTTCATATGATTTTTGGGATCAAATGAAAGGGAAAAGATCAATAAATTTCCAGAACAGGGTTTTCACCTACAAAATGTGCTGGGCCACCAGGCAGGTGAAAAGCATGGGTCCAGCCATGGACAGTCTGTGATGGGCTGTGTACGTTCAACAATCCCATTGTGATAGTTCGATAACCTAGATGCCGAGATTTTTTGTCTGACTCGATCCTGATTGCATTGCCAAGATCCATTTGGAACCTATTGATCGAAGAAAAAAGAAGTGCTCATAGACCGGCCTTTAGGAAAAAGAACTTTGTCTGAACACTGTAGGCATGCATCAAAAAGTGATTGGTCAATCCCTCGTGTATAAAACTATAGAACCTCCTGAAAACTTATTAGGCTGGTCCAGGCAGACCTATATATGAAGGGGTGGGGGGAGGAGGATGAAGATTTATGCACAAAAGTAAAAGCCCATATGCCTGACTTGTCCCCACATTGCCCAAATAATTTTAATAGCTTGCCACGCCTAAAAAACTGAGGGCGGCAATCTTGAAACTGGCTGAGTCCAACTCAATTTACACCTCTAGTTGCACATAATTGGGATAAGTGCGTGCGGATTAGGTAAAATATTGATGCATGAACATATGTAGTTCAACTACAAATTCATTCTAAAGAAGTTTTGTGTTTGTACAGATGGTAGCATTCATTCAAAGCACCATGATAAGAGCAACTAATCCTCCTACAAGTTGCAGCATTGACAATTCCAACTCTGAGGAGCCTTAGCTTGAATTACAGTTCATGACAACCCATTATGGCCCCTCGAAATCATTTAATTTTATAACTAGAGAAGTCAATCTTGGAGGCTATGTGGAAGAAAAGACAGACAGGATTTGAAGTACAAAAAGATGTATTATTGTCTATATTTAATGTTCTAGGTATACTTTTATTTGGAGTCAACATTTCTGTATAGTAGGAGAGAAACTAGTATGGATGTAAAAGACATGCAGATGTAGCCTATGGTTATGTGATGTAGAAAAGTAGTATTTGTAATTTTGTTATCGAATTTTAAGGAGGAAGAATATAATATCTTCATTCTTTCGTTATTTTGCCACATGAATACATGTTTTGAGTTGTTATACATGACATTAACATGGTATTGGAGGCATGCAAAGTACATTAGTTTAAGTCTTGTAGTCATCCATTATGCCAAAAAAAAAAAAAATAAAAAAAAATTCATGTATCAGATATTTGATAAATAATGAATTTTGTGTGCCCGTGAGTGGCACGTTGAAGACACGAGTTAAATAAATGAATATGATTTGTTTCTAAAACTTTAAATTCTTAGATGAAGTTGTTTATTTGATCACACTATCAACTTTTAGCAAAATCTCATCTTACAAAAGATGACTTTCAACCTAAATATACAATATTATGGGTCGATCTTACTTCTCAAGTACCGACACGTAGGAGAAGAAGCACTACATGCGATTAAACACTGTAATTTTGTTGGAAGTTACCCTTTTCTTATTGGGGAAAAACTAAAAGATTGGTTGGGATAACTAACATTCATTTCATCCAAGCTTAGTATAATACTGTTTATCATCTTGTATAAGATATGATATTGTTAGATATATAGAATTTACATTCTACAAAGTCGGTCACTTTGGCTGAAGACAATTTAAACAAACACAATTGGTTATTATATAATATTTCAAACTTTTAGATAAGGTAGTTAGCATTGACCTTAAAAAGGCACAAGTCGGGACATTCTGAACCACCTCCTTGCTTAATCATCCCTCAGTACCCTTTTTTGACCATCAGAGCTCCAATGAGGATTTTTCTAGTGGTGACCGCCGTTGGTAAAGTTCTAGGAGATGAAGAGCAAGAATTTGGCTAAGTTTTACCATATATAGGCTGTTTTTATTGTAAAACCACAAGGTATTTATAGATTTATTGAGCTTTGGGACTTCTTGGTCATTTTGCATCATTTGGACACGTGTCACGTTATTATTAGTAAGCCTGTATATTTCCATGACTCTTGTCCTCTCCCTTCCCTTCCATTTAGTGGGTTGTTACTTCAATAAGATTCCCCATATTATGTTTCCCCTCATATTCTTACAATTATTTTGCCACATGACAACTCTCTTGTGCTATTACTAGTTATTGGCATGTTCAATGCATACTGCTTTTTGCAATGATATATTTAATAAATTAAAAAATTCATGTATTTTTTATTTGTTCATCTCCAATAATAAATGGAAAAGTGATCAATTATTTTTTGGAATTAGAATGAATAATTCATTAACTAAATAGGAATAATATCTAATAGTAGAGACAAGAATGGGTAGGGTCGCACTCCATGGAATTTATATCTTGTAGAGCAAGCAAAGCTGTCGACACAGTGTGAAAGATGGGTGAGCTGTGATCAAGCAAAAATAGCACAGTTAGGGATGACAATTGGGCCCGTAAGATTGAGCCACCTGTGGCTTGACTTGGAAAAAGGTCGAATCGATCCGGCTCGAGGTTGGGGCCGAGCCCCATTTTGAGGCACTGGCTCGGGACCGAGCTCAAGCCAGCTCGTGCGGCTCACCAGCTTGGGCTTAAAAAAGGGGGTTAAAGGCAGCAACACACTGCCTTTTATAAGGCAACTGAGTGCTGCCTTAAGGAGAAGCAAAAAAGAGCCGAGCCTACCTGGTCGACTTGGGTCCCAAAAAAATTCGCACTATTTTACTAGAGCCAAGCCTGTGTCTTGAGTTTTGGTTCAGTTCATTAACATCCCTAAGCACAGCAGGCGAACTTGAAAATAATTCAGTTAAGCACAATAGCCATATTTAGAGCATAACAACCTAATATTGAAATGGAAAGTCAACAATACGATTTTACTAACAAAAGAGCAATAGTAGATTATTACAAACAAGGAAAAAGTTTAAAGTAAGTTATGTAGAGATTAGGCTTTCATATGTAGTAGACACTTTGTACACCAAAAACATTGAGAATTCATCGTTGATGAGCTCCAAGACGCATGTATCACCTATTTCCTTGGTCTTTTCCTTGCATAGTCTACACAACCTACTGTGAAACAACGTACATCACCATTTTGTCTTCAATTTGTACGCAATTGTCAATTATTATGTGGAGAATCATGGATTCAAACATTCTGCACAAATTTGGGTAGGTGTCTTCAAGCAAAGCTCCAAATATATACTACAAAAGAATATGAAAATTGAATATACCACGGGATCCAAAAATAATTGTAGAAGGCAAATATAAATTATTTTTGTACGTTTTTATTTAAAAAAGAAATAACGTTGAAAGATTTGAAATTCAAGAGTAACTCACAATTCTTCGATAACCATCACGATTGGCTGCAAATGTTATTCAAAATACAGGATTATCTATGTAAGAAACTTACGTTCCAGAAGTGTCAGACTCATTTGTTATTTCTATAACTGAACAATCAAATATTGGAAACATCGAATGTGAATTTTTAGATTTATTCAAAAAAATAAAATAACCAACTTTTAAGCCATGATTAATTGGGATTAATTGGTTAGGAATTTCGATTTCACTTATGTTGTTTAACATGCTTCTAATTACAATTCATTCACCCACTATTCATAAGTGCCGACGATTGAATTAATCTAATGTAGCTAGTGATCTCTTTCAAGCAACACTAATTCTATTCATATGCCTAAAATTTCTATATTTCTATGTAAATTTGCACACATGTGAATGCATTAACTTATATATTAATTCAATATGGATTGTATAGCCTATAGTTATCTCTCGATCTCTTATAATAGTTAGGTTATCTATTGCACGAGCTAGAATCATACATCACCTCTCGGTCTCAATACTATCCCTAAATCAATCAATTGTTGTGCAAGCGATCGACGCATTAATAACACAACAGATAATTAACACGTATTAAAGTGGCATGAAGTCATGAAATTAAATAAATGTCCAAAATCCTAAATTACATTGTCATCCTAACAACCAATTTAGCCAATCATAATTGAAAAATTAAATAATAAAAAGATGAAAAAATTTCCGGTTTAATACAAGGAACTAAAGAAAAGAATCCTAGCAATTGTTGTTATTTGTCACTCAATTTCTAACAATGGATTGTCAATCTCATCTTCCAAGCTTGTATATCTTCCAGCCAATTGTATTATTCAACCTTCAAATCCCAAATTGAAATACAAATATTGAGGATTCAATGTGTTAGGATTTGTAATTATGCCTTAAAAATGTATCTCTAGCCTTTCCTAATTTTGGAGTGAAAGGATTCTTACTTGTAGATCTAATTTAGGTAATTAGAAATCATAATTTTAGTCCAAGTAGGATATCTCAAATTGTTGAAATTTAATATTTTCTTGTGTGATTGGGTCTTTGTTTCCTCTTTAACTTAGATTGAGTTCTTCAATTTTGCAATTGAGATCCTTCAATGTCTAAACGTGACTCATCGGTCCCTAACTTTCAGACTATGCCCAACTTTACTCATTTTTAATCAATTATTGCCTCTTTCCATTCGTTCTTGTCCAATCCCAAGTTTTTTTTTCCTAAAATAATAAAAAACACATAGAAGTTAAGTATGTGGTTCATAACATTACATTCAAAAGCTATTTTTAAGGGGCCAAGATCAGTGTAAATTTTACGCCTATCACCACCCGTCATTTCCTGGCATACTTTCTGGATGTCCTTTTATGTGCAAATAGCATAATTCGAATATCTAATCATATCACTACACATAATTTCCTGTCACACTGTTTGAATGTCATTTTCTGAACCAGAAGCATAATCCGAATCTCTTTCCTTTGTCATTTCTTTGAGCCCTTCTTTTTCAGTACTTTCTTTCTTCTCCACTGCCATTACTCTTTTCTTTGGTTCTTCTTCTTTGTTCGTTTCTATTATTTTGTGGCCCACTAAGATCTTTTGTCTAGGAACTTTATTCTATTCAACCCCTTTGAGAGAGAAATTTAAATCAATACATCTTATAAGTTATTTAGAAGACATGAATAACTAATTTGATCTCTCATTATCACATTTCCAAAAGAGTTAGGAATCTCACTGTTTTTGGTTTACCCCACAAAGCCACTGAATTGTAGGAATCATATATATATTTTTATAATTCAGGTGTTCAAACTTTGTTTGACTAATTTTGAGGAGTGTCGGCCTTCCTCCCTTGATCGCCACCTAGATAAATCCGAATGCAGTCACAGTTTATACACACTTGGGCCGGACATTTGGTATGCGGTTCTCCTTCCTGTAGACATCTCTCTACAAAGTGCGGATAAGACTCCCGGAGGGAGGAAAAAGTGTACTATAATTTTGTCTCCACAGGACAACTACCTTCCAACACAACTGTTGCCTTTCAGCTACTGCAGAGATTCGAACCTCACATGCTCTGTATAGAACTCTCCTACTGTACCACTGCGCCATGTCCGTGAGGGCTAGGAATCATATTTAATTTGATTCAAGCTGGTCCAACCCACAATTGGAAATTTTTTTATTTTTATTTTTCAGAATATGCTTTTAAACCTTCTTTTTCCTATAGACCTATCCTATCTTCATTGGTTGGTCATCATATTTTGCAATTAAATAAAATCATAGAGGGTGTCATCAGTTAAGAATTTAATGCATTTTAAAAGATTTTAAATTTTAACAAATTTCATGTATTTGAATAGATTTTTACAGAACTCATAAGAATTTAGTTAAAAAATGTGAAATTTCAAAATAGTTTGTTACGTGTATTTCTAAGTTTGGAATCCATCCAAATCTTTTGAAATCTGTAGTTGAAGATACCTAGATTTTAATGAATTTTAATAAAATTTATTAAAATTTTAATTAGGTACACCCCAATTATTAAGATTTTAAAATTCACTAAATTATAAGTTGAGCACACCGTGTCAACCTTTTCAGGGGCAAGAAGTTGTACCTTTTGAGAAAATAAATGAAAGTCTAGTTTGTATATTAAGATTTCTGCCGCGAAAAACTGGATTCAATGGCCGTGCAAAGAGAAAATAATAGGAAAAACAAGAAGAAGACGTGCTTTACTCTCTAAAATAAACAAAGTGTTAATTATGAAAATGATTTAAGTAAGA